TGCACTCGGGCAGCGTAGTACAAAAAAAGGCAACTTGCATGGGCTGAGTTCTCTTGCACCGTGGTTGGAGTGTTGTCGTTTGGCTGTTCCACTGGGGTCACATCCACAATGGCAGTTCTCTGCTTAGGCGGCTTTCTCTCAGCAGTCCTCTGAAACAGCCGTGTTTCATTCACAGTTATGCTTATTTATTACTGCGAGTGCAAAATGCCGTAAGTAAAAAAATATGCTGGCGTCAAGCATATTATAGCAGTCTAGCAGTTTCTGAATTATACCACTAGCATCTTAGACAGCTATCATAGCACCACTGAGATATATAACGCAGATAGGAGCATTTCGGAAATTGAAAGAAAAAATTGGGCACTTAAAATTCAAGACCTCACGCTTTGTAACGTAATGGACATGTTTTTCCAATTCCGTTTCATTGCTTACAGTACATGGTTTTCAGAGTAAGTCTGCCAAACAATTCCTCAACCACAGCTTCTCACAGCTACATGTAGATTTTATTGTGCTCCGAGCTAATTTGTAGGGCGTCATTTTTAAAGGGACTCGGCAGATGAACTACGAAAGAAGGTAGCGCCCATTCAGGCGATTTCAGTGTCTAATAAACGTAGCATCAACTGTAGGGGTAGTTATACGAACACTAAACGAGCGAACTGCGATGGCCGAACAGTATGCTTTTTTTTTCCGGGCCGCTATACCAAAATGCCGAGATGTCGCCTTTTCCAGGTGCTTCGGGAAAGAAAACAAGGTGGGCACGGCGTCAGGCTGTAGCCGAGTTCGTGCGCCCGTTCTGTCAAAACAGTTGTCAGTAAAGTGGTCACTGCAGAGTCTGCTACCTGGGGATGGAATCCATTTGTCCCTTCTTAAGTTTACCACCCAACGCCGGTATAAATCCGGCTTAGAGCGTGGGAACCTGCGTAACAAGAGCCACAGCTTAACAACGACACTGATATGACGTTTGCGTTTCGCTGCGTATCACGCACGTCGCACAGAATATTGTAATACTTACAAGTGGAACGTCTTCCCAGACGACTTCTCTGGTCTGCTGGTGCAGTTGACGGCGCAACAAGCAGGCATTTTTAGCGGAATGCGCGCGAAACCAGCCCATACGTAGCACGCGCTATGCTGGAACGGCGGCCATTTGTCCGACTTCCGGGACGAGCGCTCGCACTTCCGGCGGCCGCACGCCGGAGAGCTCGAAGCGCCATCCAGCACCCTAGTGGAGATCAGTGGGTTTAACGGTAACTATCTATTCTGACAAATTTTACTTTGTATTGCATTATTCAGAAAAGTACTATGTATTATGTTTTGTGTCATTACGGTTTGTGTTCCTGTTGTATTGAGTTCTTAGTCCATATGCAGTTAATATTGTATAATGAGGATTTTCTTTGCTGAAGTACTTATTTTCATGCTGTGCTTTATATCTTGTCTACTTTGTGACCAATCCCTTCTATAATGCCATATGGCCTTGAGGGTAAATAAAATGAAATGAAAATGAGATATCAGATGCTGTACTAGGAAGTGTGTGTAATGTAATTAAAATTATAATATAGTATCTCCTATACTTTCCTCTGCATCATTGTTTTAGCTATCATTAATATTGTGCCTAATGATAAAAATGAGCCTTTAATATTTTCATTTCTTTTCTTCATGTCAGAATGTCGCATTATACAAACATATGTTATAAGCAAAAGCCCCATTTGAAGTAAAAAACTGCCTTGTTGGCCAATGCAAAGGGAAGTACCAAGGGGAGGGGAAATTTTTGGGGGGCTGCAGGTTGCTGACCACCTAAAAGAGGAGTGATGCAAAAATGTGAAGGCATAGTGACCCCGGCCTGCTCAGCACTAAATGGTACAAATCGGGGTGGGCACCCTTTGAGGTGAATAGTAATCGACTGTATGTAGAAAAGCCTGAGTAGAATTCGTGTTATTTTCAGCACACACGTCACAAGGTTTAGGTGATGTTGCTAGAAGTAACTGCTGAAAGCAGAAAGACGAGAGTAAACGCGCCCTTCTATCGGCGCACTTCAAATCCTCACATATAACATGCACGTTTTGACACTGTCTACATTGACTACAATTTTAGGGCACGAGCTCCGTTCTGTTGTGGCAATCTCTTTAGAAATTGCCAACAAGTTCATTTCTTCAACGGCCCCGCCGCAGTGTTCTAGTGGCTAAGGTACTCGGCTGCTGACCAGCAGGTCACGGGATCGAATCCCGGCTGCGGCGGCTGCATTTCCGATGGAGGCGGAAATGTTGTAGGCCCGTGTGCTCAGATTTGGGTGCACGTTAAGAACCCCAGGTGGTCAAAATTTTCGGAGCCCTCCACTATCGCATCTCTCATAATCATATGCTGGGTTTTGAAACGTTAAACCCCACATATCAATCAATCAATCATTTGTTCAACTGGCATAGCACAACATGGTAAAGAAGAATTGGCCGAGAAAACCGTCATAAGAGGACACAGTGCTAGACCTTTTGTGTGTGTCAGTCTGCTCAGCCGTTTACTTTTATGACCAACCAACACGACGAATCTTGAACACTTGTCAACAGGTTGAGGCCACTCCCGCCATCTCAAGAGACATGCACTCCATGAGGAATGCAGGAGAAGCAGAATACAGGGACTCTCTTTTTCAGAAACAAGGGGCAGTGTACATACTGATGTGGCATAGTACCCGGAAGGTTACTATGCGTCAGTGGTGGCTTGGAGGCAGTTTGATCTCAAGCTGTAACGTTAGTCACTCTTCGCGACCAAAAACCCTGGCAACTAAAAACCCATCGACTAGAATCATTTTTACCGATTCGAAAGTCGCTGTCGAAGCTTATGATGCTGCTGCTAAAGTGTCCAAGAAGCTGGACAAAATTCTGCGAGTAGGCAAGGAGAACGTTACCGATGATCTAATTAGGGTAATATCGGCCCACAGTGATTCGCAGTGAAAGAGATCACCTGAAGGCTGGCGTTGCGAACCTAGACTACTCCCTGTATGTCTAGAGCACTGCAGAGTAAGTAGGAGAGCCTCCCACAAATCTTTCAAAAAAAAAAAGTCATCTGGCAAAAGCCGCAGACCTTTCTAACCTATATTTTATATCATGAGCAAATTGCACACTGCGGTGCACTTTTCCAAATGCAAAAATGTGAAGGCATAGTGACCCAGCCTGCTCAGCACTAAATGGTACAAATTGGGGGGGCAACCTTTTGAGGTGAATAGTAATCGACTGTATGTAGAAAAGCCTGAATAGAATTCGCGTTTATTTTCAGCACACACTTCACAAGGTTTAGGTGATGTTGCTAGAAGTAACTGTTATGTAAATGTGAAGAGAAGTGGATGAAAAGACAACTTGCCTCCGGCAGGGGCCAAACATGTGACCTTTGAATAAAGCGCCTGATGCTCTATGGCTGAGCTGCTCTCTCTATCATCTCTCTGTCCACTTTATAAGGTATGTATGTGCATTTAGACTGGGCCATAGCTGAGTGGTAGAGCATCAATGGGTTATTCGAAGGTTACGTGTTTGGTCCCTGCAGACGCAAGTTATTGTTTCATCCACTTTTCTTTCTTCATACTTGCATTACAATTTCTTTTAATAAAATCTCCTATACTTCCTCTGCATCATTGTTTTAGCTCTCAGTAATATTGTGCCTAATGATGAAAATGAGCCTTTAATCCTTTCATTTCTTTTCTTCATGTCAGAATGTTGCATTGTACAACATATGTTATAAGCAAAAGTCCCATTTGTAGTAAAAAATTGCCTTGTTGGCCAATGCAAAGGGAAGTACCAAGGGGAGGGGAAATGGTTTGGGGGCTGCAGGTTGCTGACCACCTAAAAGAGGAGTGATGGAATTCCTCCCTCCACAGCTAATGAAAAACATGTCGTTCGTCTAGCCAGGCCGCTGCCAGCTGATTCTGGCTGACGATGTCTGGGTGGGGGAGTGGACGGGGAAATGGGAGCAGTGCGTTTTAGTAAAATGCTCTTTCTCCAGATTGGTCACATCCATTGAGATGTTACAATGGCCATTGGAGTGGTGCTCTACTCGGAAATGACTGATGAAGCTTCATCAGTAGTTCAGAAAGCTAAATTGGAAACTCTTGCAAAAAGCACTTGTTTTTCAGCTGAGAGGCACTGTCAGCACTTAAGTACTCTGTGTATAGGGCATGTGAATCGCAAGTTTTTTGGTGCTTTGTGCATGAGAATATTTATGTGCCGAATAACATATTTATAAACATGTTGTTTTCACCTCATTTTATGAAACATAATCCCCTTGTTATATTAAGTAAATAGACACATTCAGTTTGTTCTTACTTCAAGTTGTCAAAAGGATTGTTCGTCTAGCTTGGGCAGTTTCTCAAGTACTGTGAAGTTTGAGCGAGTGCCCCCTTCAGGGGGGAAGAACAATTTTAAATTTGGAGGGGTCTGGTTGGTCATGTGATCAAATTTGAAGATATTAATGTAACAGTTGCTAAGAATAAGGAATGCACAAACATGCTTCTAATAAAATCTGCCATGGAATGTGCATGGATTCACTATTTTCATTCGCTCTCATTGGACAAATAAAAACAGTGAATTAGGTAGTGAAAGTGGTGACTGGGGAATAGAGGCTGCACACTAAAAATTTCGTGATGATGGGAGGTTGGCGCTTGCTTAAGATTGAACTGTAATAACGCTTTTTCAACTCAGTGTCTGGGAGCATTTTTGTTTAACAAATCGCCTTCTTCCTGCAGCATGTGGTGAGATGGCATGTCCTTAGATTGAAAAAAAATTCTCGTTTTCATCTGGCAATGAGACGTCAAATTCCTGTTTTATTTTTTAAGCTTACACATATGCTATCATCATATTGATGTCTTACAATCACCAAGTGCCTTTGACTGCGAATAACATTGGTGTGCACTTGCACGCACCAATATGCGTGCCTCTAAATGTGTGTCGGCACCTATATAAGCCTCTAAATGTTTGTCGGCACAACCGGCTTCTTTGTGAAACTAAGAGTAGCTTCTTGTCGGGCAGCTTCATTCTGCAGAAGGCAGCGGACAACGATGAGCCGGGCTTCATGTACTACTTCATGTCAGTCATCTCGGACGTGGCAGCCAACCGGTTCATCAACAGCAGTGCTATCTACTATGCGCCCAACATGTCATTCACCCCCTCGTACAAGGGCTTCTTCAACAAGACCATGCCCCTGTTTGCACCGAGGGCATACAGGTATGCGTCTAGTTCTTTCAAGCTTTCTTCCAGAATGTGTAGTAGCATTGTTTTTATTTGGCTTGTTGTCGGCCTCGTTGTCTCTCAGACGTTGAGTGTGTCAGGTCTGTTGGCCAATGGACACCCAATTTTTTCTACTCTAGAAACCACGGAATGATCTGTATTTACGTAAATGTAGCGCAAAAAAACACAGACAAGAAAGGGCTGTTTGACTTTTCCTCCTTGCTAGGCAAAGCTTGGGATAAGCCACTGCAGCTCAAGGTTGCATCGGGGATGCAGCACAGTTTTTAAGCATGGTGAAAATACTCGGATGATATTACCAAAACCGCGATTTGACTGAAGGATCAATACTAATGAGAAGTGCCAAAGCAAACAGCTGCTAACACTGAGAAACTTATTAAGTAGACAGGAAAAAAGTGTTAGTTCAGGGCTTGTGCGCCTTTAACACAATTTATCAGAACTAATAGACAATGACAAATCTACCTAGTCTCCCGGATTTAGAACAGTTCTTACTTTTGTACGGTTGTCTCTGGAAATTGAAATTCCTGTGCGTGATGTTGCTGCAGTGACAAAAACGCAGCTCAATCTGATCCAGGCATTATTAAGAACCCATCGCATTTTGTTGTAGATTAACTTAAAAGGCGCTTATCTAAATGTACTGTAGAATCTCAATGATGCGAAACCGGCAGATACGAATTTGTGAAATTCCCGTCTAAATTTCACTATGTCCATTGGGCCAAAAGGCGGGTTGTATGATTCATGCAACCTGCCGCGTTCGTTTTGACGATTCAATTGCCGCTTCAATCGAAAGTTGAGCTCAAACGAAGGCTGAGAGCAGTGTGCTCAAAGCTTCGGAAGGACTCGCATGGCCAGCACTGTCAGAACTGGGGTTATCCTTTGCCACAACTACCGTGGACGAAACTGCGATCACTGTTCACACTATCATGTATGGCGACGACATATTTTATAGAATTTCAAAAGAGCATGTGTGTCCATTGCTTGACCAGTCAAAGAGACGCTGCTTTTCGCAAATGGTGGTGGACAAAACAGCAGCAGCTGCAATCGTAAAAAGAAAGAAAATCGCCCTTATATCTACAAAGTGAATAATGTTATAGGAGCTTGCTCGTATATGATCGAGCATCCCGCAAATCCTTTGTACACATCGGCTATATATACGTAGATTGACAACGTTGCTATACATACATTATATACACAACGTTTATTCATTTACAATTGCATGTACTATGTACATTTTGATGAACAACCATGCATTTTACATACACTAGAGATGTTCTTTTGCAAGTACAAAAAGGGCATCACTCAATGAGCCCAGGGAATCTGCCAGAGCTGTGTTGCAAGCGCACTGCACTGCTGCCTTGGCTTGTGGGTTGTACATTGTTGTACTTTATGAAAGGGAACACGCGAGCACATAGCGGCAACTGCCTGCAGCACCATCAACCGATAGATAGAGAAAGGGCATTGGCTTTTAGCGCCATCTACTGCTTAACGAAATAATGATTCATGCCCACTTGACAAGCATTGCTAGATATAACAATCCTGCTAAGGTCTGATAGCGGACAGATCCGCCAAACATGGGTGCACTTTCTTAAGCTGTCGGTTGATGGTGCTGTCAACAGCAGCGGCAGAGAGCAAACCACGCACTCACGTCTTTACCTTCATGAAGGACAACAGTGTACATGACACCGAGCGGTGACCAAGTGTGCTCACTGTGTGAGCTCCTGGCAAAGAGAAAGAAAGCGGACGTGCGGAGAAAGTTGTGTGCCACCATGAGTGATCGCGCCCCATCTAGTGAACATTCTTATAATCAACAGAAAACCAACCCCCAGGAAGACGGTGTGCCTGTGTACTCGGCCAGACCCAACACTACTGACACGCTCCTCTTTTCTTCTTTCACATTCCTTTCTATCCCCCACTACCCATTTCCCATGTGGTATTGTTGAGGTGACCTTCTCGGAGAGACACCGTTACCACAAGACACTTTTCTCTTCTCTTACCTTTCTTTCAAATCTTCTTTGAGGAGGCGTGCGCGCGGGACATCGAAAACCGCCTTCTTTGGGGGCAGTGTGCCATCTAGTGAGCATTGTTAAAATCATCGGAGAGGTAACCTTGAGCATGACTGCTGAAATGTACAGGCAACACGGCACTAACATAGGACAAGCCATCAGCTGAAGGAGCAAGCTCCTAAAACAACTTGGTTTTGAGGACACGTTTATCTGGGCATGTTCCTTTGGGCATGTTTGCTGCCAGTATATGTGGATTTAAAACGGAACTATTGTTCTCCAGAACTGCCACCCGCGAAACCGCGGTTCCAGTGATGTGATCATAAATGAGGACTACTAGTTGAGGTTACCCAACTAACAGAGTGATAAATTACAGCCAATAAAGGCATGAAGAAGGCTAGAAGCATTTTGAGCTTCCTGGCCAAAAAAATCTAGTAACGTTATGTTCAGCTTTCAGTTGGCTTAACCCCTCAAGCAAAGCTTTGACTTGCGCTTTCCTGGCAGCCGGCTGCACTGTTCCATCCGTACTTTGTGCTTGTGCACCCATCCGAAATGCGAAATGAATGGAACAGGTGTAATAATTTTTTGCTTTATCGCCTACAAGAGAGAGTCAGCGTTTCCGAGTCCCAAGAACCCGAAGCGGTGCAACCACAGCGGCGTCATTGTGTAATTTAGCATTGCAAAGAAACAGATGTAAGTGCACCATATGCTTTAAACATTATTTGCAGCCATGTCGGGCTACAGGTGGCAGCATCATCCTTGGGAAAGTGTGGATAGGCGGTTAGAAGCGCGTATACAAATACAAGAAGGGGCATTTTGTTGCGTGCGGTCTGAGCCGATTGTCCGCAAGTAAAATGCTTTGACCGCAGTTTACTGGTAATATCTATGCTTCTTTCTACTGAATCTGCATGAAGGCTATGCAACGTTACCATTACCAGCAAGTAAAGTGCATTCTGCCTTTCAAAGGAATGCTCGTCTTAGGTGACTGACTGCGCGCTTTCGCAGTCACCTTTTGCTGTGTTGTTTGTAAGTGTTTATTTATTAGTTTGTGTTCTGCCTACCACACATTGCTTTAGCGTGACTTAACTTTTTTTCTTGTCTGCATACAAGAAAGAAAAAGAGCAAAAGAAAGAAAGAAAGTCAGTGTATCTGTGCGATGAGTTCACTACCACCAATTACACTATATGCATATGCATTTCTTTTTTCATTCATTTCACCACGAATTGTGGGACAGTTGGTAAGTTTGTGTCAGGAAAGCTTACTAGTGGCTGACAGCGCTTTGCGCTACATTGCATTCACGTATACACACATGTAAATACCTTGTAAGAGTTCAGCAGAAAGCTTTCATCGATGGATCACGTGCATGACTGTGCTACAACAAAGGTATGGTTATTTTATGGGACAAGCATGCTTTTTTGTTTTTTCAGGATTAAGGTGACCACTGCCTTCCGTAGGTCAATAACAATGCCTCGTAAACGCTCAAGACAATGCAAAAAAAAAAGATTTTAAGTGAAATTATACAACATTAAAGGTAAGGCATGCCGTCTGAATTCATTTTGAATGTCTGAACTCTTTGAAGCGTTCTTAAATCTAAGCACACAGTTGAGCATGGCAACTTTGTTGTACTGTTTACTACCGAAGTGTCACAGTTAATGCGATAGTAATGTTTCTATGTAGGTGTACCACGGCCATATGAACACAACTAAAGCTCATCGCATAATCGATAAGCTACAGTGCACCGACCAGTGCACCGATAAGTACACCGACCAAAAGTGCGCAAGTGCGTGGGTTAGAGCCTCGTTTTTTTTTGTTCACAACCGAGTCACTAAAACACTGCATTCACACATCATTTAATAGTCCTCATGTTTGGCAGGATGCCAAGGGCATTTTACAATGCGCTTGAAGTAGAAAGCGGCACCCACTCTGAAACTATTCTGGTGAGTGGACGGTGCTACGACAATAAACAATACTCTGGAAAGTTGCACTCGCCAATCTGATTACAATGGTTTAGCAGCCGAGCAAGAACAAATGCTTTCATACGTTGTTTCAGGCACATGTACAAGCAGTTACACTCGCGTTGAGATAACTGCACAAACCACCGTTTAAGAACGTGCATGACACATACCTGCCAAGTCTCCTGGATTGTCCGGGAAACTCCGTATTTCGACCGTTTTTGCCATTTGTACGGTCATCATGAAAATCTTCTGGAAATTGAAATTTTTGTGCGTGATCTGGCCACTCCAGGCGTTTTGCGAACCCACCTCACTTTATTATAAACAAATTCAGGGGGCGTTTATCTAAAGGTACAGTAGAAACTGAGTGAAACTGTGGCAGATGTGAATTCGTGAAATTCCCCAGCGAAGTTCAGCTGTGTTCATTAGGCCGAAATCGGAATGTTATGAACATTTTTTCTAATCACGGCGAGCGATATTGCCACGTTCTATTTCCCAAGTTTTTGTTATTGTCCCAAAACACCACACGATTCTCAGCGCAAACCGCGCCTGCAGTTTTCGAGAAGGTTCCGGACTGTAGTAGATCATTTCAATAAGATTACGCCCACTGTGCGAACGGTACAGATTGTTCTGGAACCTACGCCACCGCCAGCGATAACGCTAGAAAATTCGACGGCAAGAGTATAAATGCCGACACACTTCGCCGCTTGTCAGTTGTTGATCGAAGGCCGATGCTCCGTTCGCCGCTATCAGTCCGAGACTGCTGCTGTAATTGGACTTTCCGTTTACCGGGCACAGGTTCGCCCAAATAAACAGTTAAATCTCAACACGAAGTCTCCTGTCTTCGGCCACTGTCTTCGGCCACCTGACTTCTTGGGAACGATAACTACCGACGACTTCGCTGAACGACAGCGGGCCGACCCGGAACTTAAGGCCCTAATAGAATACCTCGAAGGCAGGACCGCCGAAGTCCCGAAGGTATTCAAGCGTGCACTTGCGTCGTTCTTTCTACGAAACGGTCTTCTAC